TGTAACCGAAAAAAGGGCAAATATTTATGTAAATGTCAGGATTCCTTGTGGTGCGTTTTATCTTCACTTTGGTACACAAAAGACTGGAAGGAGATTTTCACTTTTACACAAGAATATGGCTTTAGGATTGAAATTATTTAATTTCTTAAGTGAATTTTTGGATAAATGAAAGAGTTTTTTGTGGTTAGACAAAATATGTCATCGTGTCGCTAAAATATTTTATTATACCCTCAGCCTTAATTTCTGCAGAGGGTATACGTCATTTGATACGGTAAAAACTTGCCTTATCGAAATAACATTTTAAGATCCTATTTTTTAAACCCTCAGCCATATGGCTACAGAGGGTATACATCATTTGTTATGGCAAAAACCTGCCTTATCCAAATAACGATTTTAGACCCAAGGTCTCTTTGGACCAAATCCGTTTCAGGACATTTGGAGTCGATCTAGAGGTATCCGCCCGTCTGTCTGTCTGTGTGGCTGGTGCGCACAATAACTCTTGAAGGGAGCAATCAATTTCGTAGAAACTTGGGGCATCGTAGTATTATTGTCAAACTTCGATCGATTTTGGTCCACTCTTTCTGGTACCTCCCTCAAAAAAGGTCAACATTTTCAAAAATATATTTTACTGCACAGAAAGAGAAAGGATAATCCGATTTGGCTCCAACTTTGCAAATCCTAATATTTTTATAAGTTTCGGGTTAGGTGGGAAAATGAAAAATGTCTTCACACTCAATCAAGTACCTCCCGCACAAAGGGTCACCATTTGGAATAATTGGTTGAGACAAACATCTAATTCTCTTCAAATTTCACACATCTCGGTTTTTTTATTAGCACAGGATCTGGTGTAAATATGGGATATATCGGTCTACTCACTCTGGGACCTTCACCACAACGTTTCAAATTTTTGAATACACGTCTCTCATTTAAAATGCGAAATCAAAGTCGCAGGGTCTTTAAATTTCACATATCGAAAAAAGATAGAACCGACCACTCCTTCTAGTACCTCCCCCACATGCGGTCAAAATATTGAATAATCATGACGCTCATAAAAGACGATATGAGCATCCGATTCTATTCAAGCATGACAAATCTTAATACAGGGTAACATGAAAAAAAAAAAACTGCAACCAACTTCAGACTGCTGTTATTTCTAAGCCACTTGTCCGACAGCTATGAAATTTATTTCAGTGACAGCTAATTATATTGTTTACGAGCATACAAAAGCATTTTGGTGAGAATTTTACAGAAAGAAGTTATTCGTGATGGAATTTAAGCGTGTTAGTGTGATTTCTTTATATTTGGCTGGAAAACCACAAGTGGCTATCGTTAGAGCACTCCAGCATTTAAATGTGAATAAATTTTTTGTGTCTCGTACCATCGCTCGTTACCGTGATACTGGTAGCGTAGCCCGACGTCAAGGACGGAAGAAAACAGCAACATCAGCAGAAATCGTCCAAAAGTAAAGAAGCGACTTGATCGAAACCCGCTTCGCAGTGGCCGAAAAATGGCTCGTGAGCTGAACATATCGCAATATTCCATTCGGCAAATACTGAAAAATGAGCTCGGGGTAAAGTCATTGAAATTCCATAATGTGCAAGAACTTACACCGCAACAGAAAGATAGAAAAATAGACTCAAAATAGCTCTATGCTTCGCTTGGCCGAAAGTGGTGAACTGCCGAAACTGGTTTTCTCCGTCTCCGATGAGAAAGCATTCGTTGTCTAGCAGTTTGAAAACAAACAAAATGATCGTGTTTACTTGCCAAAGAGGTCAGCTGAAAATGTGCACCTTCGGCTGGCCACCAGAACTCAAGTGCAGGCCATGGCTCTCTGTTCGTATTAATCAACCGTGGCATCAGAATAAATGTCGAATAGGATCGCGAAAATATTCTGGAGCGTGTATTAAAGCCTTGAACACGCAAACACTTTGGCCGCAGACCTTGATAATTCCAACAGAACTCAGCAGCACCATCGCACTCAGCACGCGCCACCCAAGAATGGTTACAAAATGATGTTCCTCCCTTCATTTCCAGCGCACAATGACCACCAAAATCTCCGGATACCAATCCGTTGAACTTTTGTGTCTGGAATATTTTGGAAAGCAAGGTTGGCACTAAAAAATACCAAGGTGTCGATCACCTCAAGCTACCGCTTCGCCGGAAATGAGCCAAAATACCGCAGAGCAATATTCTTGCGGCGGGTGACGGTTTCATTGGCCATTTCAAGGCCATAATTCGTATCAAAAGTGACCAATTCGAACAAATCTAAACTTATTCTAAAATGTGATGCTATTTCCGACATTTGTTGCTTTTATTCACTAAAATTTAAAAAAAGGAAAAATTATGGCGTTGGACTTTGTTGCAGTTTTTTTATCTCACCCTGTAAGCACACATTTCCATTACAACCTGTATTATACAATTCAATATAAATCTTATTTCCTCATTGCAGGATTCCACCCCTATTGGTTTTCCCTAAATCGAAATTGTACCAAACCTAGTACCATTTATTACAAAAAAGCACGAATATCTAATGCTTCCTTCATACTTCCATAGTAATCCGAAGACCATATTTCAAGATTCCATTCCCCTATCGGTTCGCCCAAGTACAAATTGTACCAAATTTAGTACCACATAGTATGCATAAGTACAAACTTCCTATATACATACATCCGACGCTTGAAGAATAATTTTAATTCCAAATTTCAAGTTTCGTGCTCTATCGGTTCACCGAAAATCCTTATTGTACCGAATTTAGTAACATTTTGTACACAGAAGTACCAATGCCCATACCTATCAATATACCACAATCCAACAGGAATCTTTTATCAAAATTTCAGGATTCCAACTCTACAGGTTCTCCAGAGTACAATTTTTACGAAGTTTGGCACCATTTAGTAAACATAAGTACACATTTTCATAACTACGTACATCATATAATTCAAAAGAAATCTTATATCCAAAATTTTAAGATCCCAACTCTGTCGGTTCATTCAAAATTTTAATTGTACCAAATTTAGTAAAATTTAGAGTTTCCAAAACTACGCATATATCACAGTCCTAAAATGCAGTCGTAATGTTATTTCCAAGTTTCAGTATTCTAGCTCTATCGATTCACTCAAATTGAAATTGTACCAACTTTAGTACCTCCATATCATAATTTTACACTCTGCCAGTAATGTTAATTTCAAATTTCAGGATTCCAGCTTCACCTGTTCCTCCAAATTCAAATTGTATCAAATTTCGTACTTTTTGTATACCTGAGTAAATACTCCCAATACTACCTCCCTACATCGAGCCTACTGCTCAACCTTGATTCCGTTCCAAATTTCAGCTCTAACCGTTCACATGATACGAAATAGTGCTAACTATAGTACATTTTGGTACATTTCGTGCACTTAAAGTAAAAGTCCTTTGATATATCCACCAAACACTCCATCAGTGATCCTCATTCCAAATTTAAGAGTTCTAGCTTTACAGGTTCGTCAAATACATAGGGTACCAAGAGTGATCCTAACACAAAATTTTAAAATTCTAGCTCAAGTCGTTTTATATGGGCCTTGATAATACCCTCAGCCATATGGCTACAGAGGGTATATACAATTTTATACGATCAAAACGTGCCTAGTCGAAATAACGGTTTTAGACCCTTGGTCTCTTTGGACCAAAACCGCCTTAGAACATTTGGAGTCGATCTAGCGATGTCCGTCCGTCTGGCTGGCTGGTGCGCACGATAACTCTCGAAGGGAGTATCCCAATATTTATATTAACCCAAGTTCTGGTGTGAAGATGGGCAGTATCGGTCCACTCCTTTTGGTACCTCCCCCACAAAAGGTCGAAATGTTCAAAAAATATATTTTTTGCACAGAAAGAGAAAAGATAATCCGATTTTGCTCCAACTTTGCATATCCTAATATTTGTGTCAGTGCTAGGTCAGATGTGAAAATGGACAATATCGGTTCACTCCATCAAGTGCCTCCCTCACAAATGGTCAAAATTTTGAATAATTATTGAACTCTCATAAAATGTGATGTAAGAGTCCGATTGTCTTCAAATTTCACAAATCCCAATATTTATATTAGTCCAAGGTCTGGTGTTAAGGAGGACAAAATCGGTCCACTACTTCTGGTACCTCCCACACAAATGGTCGAAATATTCAATATTTTTATCTGTCATAAATTGCGAAACAATTCAGCGATTCTTTACAACTTGCAATATCTAAATATATGTCTCTCATCCAGAATCCTGAGATAAAAATGGAATTTCTGATTTCCCATAAATTGGGTGTAAACGTTCGTATTGGCTGAGGGTATACATCTGTTGGCAAAACCGACCGATACAACCTTTTGTTTTGTCAGGAAAAAAAAGTTTGTTGCTTCGTAATTTTTAATACGTTTTAGAGTTGGACCAAAATTTCGGATCTCAAATAAGGATTTCAGGAGCGAGGGCTTAGGTATATTCTTATTATTTGGAGTATTTGCAGATTAAAGATTTGAAGAAAAAAAACGATGGAACATGCTTTACATTATTTTTGGTTGCAAGTAAAGACAATTTCAAAATTTTGTCTATGTGTTGATATAACATGCCAATGTCATGTCCAGCCTGATTTCTAGGATTTTCTAATTTGAAAACATATTTTCCTTTTTCTTATTCGTAATACAATTTGCATTTTGTAATTTTCCTCCAGAATTACCCGAAAATTTAACCATTATTATATTATAATAAATCTTGTCATTACTTCCATTTACCTTGTGTTTTTTCTCCTTTTCTTTTTGGCTTCAATTTCCTTTTCCGTTGTCAACAGGCAATTATTTAAATAAATTTTCTTTGATTTGCATTATCCTTAAAATCCCGAAACAAGAAAGTAAACAAATTTTGATGCTCAAAGATGATTTACATTCCTTCTATTGTAGAGCTAAGAGAAGAATGACAGGAATCCTGTAAAGAAATGTAAATTATTTTTTCCTTTCTTTCTTCTTCTTCTCTGTTTACTTTAATTACAGAAATGGAAACAAAATTAGATTCACGACAAGGACAATTTCCGGCCTCATTTCCGGACACCTTTAAGAATTTCTTTGCCATGATGAATGAGGATGAAGACCACATGGATTTGTTCTCCAATCTATTGGAAGATAAGGTAAGTTAAGGCCCGGCTTGGGTATTAGATAAATATTGGAAATAAGGGAATGTAAATAGGAAAGAAAATCATTGCTCTCATTTGCATGGAGGGGAGGGGACATGTCACTAACATGTTTTGCATAGATTCGATGAATGGGAAATGAGTTTGCCCAGATAATTTGTTGGTGCGTGAAAACTGCAAAAATCATTGGCATAACGAATTTATAATAAACAACTTTGGTGGAAAATGTACGGAACTTTAATGTGACCATTAGACATTATTGACATTTCGGGGTTTTTAGCTATTATTTGTGATCAGTTTCCTAAAGAGGAAAAATAGCATACTTTAAAATGGCCATAACTCCTTAAACATTGACATTTCGGGGTTTTTAGCTATTATTTGTGATCACTTTTTTAAAGAGGAAAAATAGCATATTTTAAAATGGCCATAACTCCTTAAATATTAACATTACGGGGTTTTTAGCTATTATTTGTGATCACTTTTCTAAGGAGGAAAAATAGCATATTTTAAAATGGCCATAACTCCTTAAATATTGACATTTCGGGGTTTTTAGCTATTGTTTGTGATCACTTTTTTAAAGAGGAAAAATAGCATATTTTAAAATGGCCATAACTCCTTAAATATTTACATTTCGGGGTTTTTAGCTATTATTTGTGACCACTTTTCTAAGGAGGAAAAATAGCATATTTTAAAATGGCCATAACTCCTTAAATATTGACATTTCGGGGTTTTTAGCTATTATTTGTGATCACTTTTTTAAAGAGGAAAATAGCATACTTTAAAATGGCCATAACTCCTTAAATATTGACATTTCGGGGCTTTTAGCTATTATTTGTGATCACTTTTTTAAAGAGGAAAAATAGCATACTTTGTGATGGCCATAACTCCTTAAATATTGACATTTCGGCATAGCATACTTTAAAATGGCCATAACTCCTTAAATATTGACATTTCGGGGTTTTTAGCTATTATTTGTGATCACTTTTTTAAAGAGGAAAAATAGTATACTTTAAAATGGCCATAACTCCTTAAATATTGACATTTCGGGGTTTTTAGCTATTATTTGTGATCACTTTTTTAAGGATGAAATATTGCATACTTTAAAATGGCCATAACTCCTTAAATATTGACATTTCGGGGTTTTTAGCTATTATTTGTGATCACTTTTTTAAGGATGAAATATTGCATACTTTAAAATGGCCATAACTCCTTAAATATTGACATTTCGGGGTTTTTAGCTATTATTTGTGATCACTTTTTTAAGGATGAAATATTGCATACTTTAAAATGGCCATAACTCCTTAAATATTGACATTTCGGGGTTTTTAGCTATTATTTGTGATCAGTTTTCTAAAGTGGAAAAATAGCATACTTTATGATGGCCATAACTCCTTAAATATTGACATTTCGGGGTTTTTAGCTATTATTTGTGATCACTTTTTTATTTAAAATGGCCATAACTCCTTAAATATTGACATTTCGGGGTTTTAAGCTATTATTTGTGATCACTTTTTTAAGGATGAAATATTGCATACTTTAAAATGGCCATAACTCCTTAAATATTGACATTTCGGGGTTTTTAGCTATTATTTGTGATCACTTTTTTAAGGATGAAATATTGCATACTTTAAAATGGCCATAACTCCTTAAATATTGACATTTCGGGGTTTTTAGCTATTATTTGTGATCACTTTTTTAAGGATGAAATATTGCATACTTTAAAATGGCCATAACTCCTTAAATATTGACATTTCGGGGTTTTTAGCTATTATTTGTGATCACTTTTTTAAGGATGAAATATTGCATACTTTAAAATGGCCATAGCTCCTTAAATATTGACATTTCGGGGTTTTTAGCTATTATTTGTGATCACTTTTTTAAGGATGAAATATTGCATACTTTAAAATGGCCATAACTCCTTAAATATTGACATTTCGGGGTTTTTAGCTATTATTTGTGATCAGTTTTCTAAAGTGGAAAAATAGCATACTTTATGATGGCCATAACTCCTTAAATATTGACATTTCGGGGTTTTTAGCTATTATTTGTGATCACTTTTTTAAAGAGGAAAAATAGCATACTTTAAAATGGCCATAACTCCTTCAATATTGACATTTCGGGGTTTTTAGCTATTATTTGTGATCAGTTTTCTAAAGAGGAAAAATAGCATACTTTATGATGGCCATAACTCCTTAAATATTGACATTTCGGGGTTTTTAGCTATTATTTGTGATCACTTTTTCAAAGAGGAAAAATAGCATACTTTGTGATGGCCATAACTCCTTAAATATAGACATTTCGGGGTTTTTAGCTATTATTTGTGATCACTTTTTTAAGGATGAAATATTGCATACTTTAAAATGGCCATAACTCCTTAAATATTGACATTTCGGGGTTTTTAGCTATTATTTGTGATCACTTTTTAAGGATGAAATATTGCATACTTTAAAATGGCCATAACTCCTTAAATATTGACATTTCGGGGTTTTTAGCTATTATTTGTGATCAGTTTTCTAAAGAGGAAAAATAGCATACTTTAAAATGGCCATAACTCCTTAAATATTGACATTTCGGGGTTTTTAGCTATTATTTGTGATCACTTTTTTAAAGAGGAAAAATAGCATACTTTAAAATGGCCATAACTCCTTAAATATTGACATTTCGGGGTTTTTAGCTATTATTTGTGATCACTTTTTTAAGGATGAAATATTGCATACTTTAAAATGGCCATAACTCCTTAAATATTGACATTTCGGGGTTTTTAGCTATTATTTCTGATCACTTTTTTAAGGATGAAATATTGCATACTTTAAAATGGCCATAACTCCTTAAATATTGACATTTCGGGGTTTTTAGCTATTATTTGTGAGCAGTTTTCTAAAGAGGAAAAATAGCATACTTTATGATGGCCATAACTCCTTAAATATTGACATTTCGGGGTTCTTAGCTATTATTTGTGATCACTTTTTTAAAGAGGAAAAATAGCATACTTTGTGATGGCCATAACTCCTTAAATATTGACATTTCGGGGTTTTTAGCTATTATTTGTGATCACTTTTTTAAAGAGGAAAAATAGCATACTTTAAAATGGCCATAACTCCTTAAATATTGACATTTCGGGGTTTTTAGCTATTATTTGTGATCACTTTTTTAAGGATGAAATATTGCATACTTTAAAATGGCCATAACTCCTTAAATATTGACATTTCGGGGTTTTTAGCTATTATTTCTGATCACTTTTTTAAGGATGAAATATTGCATACTTTAAAATGGCCATAACTCCTTAAATATTGACATTTCGGGGTTTTTAGCTATTATTTGTGATCACCTTTTAAAGAGGAAAAATAGCATACTTTAAAATGGCCATAACTCCTTAAATATTGACATTTCGGGGTTTTTAGCTATTATTTGTGATCACTTTTTTAAAGAGGAAAAATAGCATACTTTAAAATGGCCATAACTCCTTAAATATTGACATTTCGGGGTTTTTAGCTATTATTTGTGATCACTTTTTTAAAGAGGAAAAATAGCATACTTTAAAATGGCCATAACTCCTTAAATATTGACATTTCGGGGTTTTTAGCTATTATTTGTGATCACTTTTTTAAGGATGAAATATTGCATACTTTAAAATGGCCATAACTCCTTAAATATTGACATTTCGGGGTTTTTAGCTATTATTTGTGATCACTTTTTTAAAGAGGAAAAATAGCATACTTTAAAATGGCCATAACTCCTTAAATATTGACATTTCGGGGTTTTTAGCTATTATTTGTGATCACTTTTTTAAGGATGAAATATTGCATACTTTAAAATGGCCATAACTCCTTAAATATTGACATTTCGGGGTTTTTAGCTATTATTTGTGATCACTTTTTTAAAGAGGAAAAATAGCATACTTTAAAATGGCCATAACTCCTTAAATATTGACATTTCGGGGTTTTTAGCTATTATTTGTGATCACTTTTTTAAGGATGAAATATTGCATACTTTAAAATGGCCATAACTCCTTAAATATTGACATTTCGGGGTTTTTAGCTTTTATTTGTGATTACTTTTTTAAGGATGAAATATTGCATACTTTAAAATGGCCATAACTCCTCAAATATTGACATTTCGGGGTTTTTAGCTATTATTTGTGATCACTTTTTTAAAGAGGAAAAATAGCATACTTTAAAATGGCCATAACTCCTTAAATATTGACATTTCGGGGTTTTTAGCTATTATTTGTGATCACTTTTTAAGGATGAAATATTGCATACTTTAAAATGGCCATAACTCCTTAAATATTGACATTTCGGGGTTTTTAGCTTTTATTTGTGATCACTTTTTTAAGGATGAAATATTGCATACTTTAAAATGGCCATAACTCCTCAAATATTGACATTTCGGGGTTTTTAGCTATTATTTGTGATCACTTTTTTAAAGAGGAAAAATAGCATACTTTAAAATGGCCATAACTCCTTAAATATTGACATTTCGGGGTTTTTAGCTATTATTTGTGATCACTTTTTTAAGGATGAAATATTGCATACTTTAAAATGGCCATAACTCCTTAAATATTGACATTTCGGGGTTTTTAGCTTTTATTTGTGATCACTTTTTTAAGGATGAAATATTGCATACTTTAAAATGGCCATAACTCCTCAAATATTGACATTTCGGGGTTTTTAGCTATTATTTGTGATCACTTTTTTAAAGAGGAAAAATAGCATACTTTAAAATGGCCATAACTCCTTAAATATTGACATTTCGGGGTTTTTAGCTATTATTTGTGATCACTTTTTTAAGGATGAAATATTGCATACTTTAAAATGGCCATAACTCCTTAAATATTGACATTTCGGGGTTTTTAGCTATTATTTGTGATCACTTTTTTAAAGAGGAAAAATAGCATACTTTAAAATGGCCATAACTCCTTAAATATTGACATTTCGGGGTTTTTAGCTATTATTTGTGATCACTTTTTTAAGGATGAAATATTGCATACTTTAAAA